AATTTCCATTGAGACTATTAAAAAATTTAGATACCAGTGTTTGGAGTTGAGCAATGCATTTACTAATTCTTAATGTAACTAAAACCTTATTTTAAAAATTACAAAAAAAATTACTGATTGTTGGTGATGGACTCCTCAGTTTGTTATTTAGGCATCCTTCCTGCCCGCAGTGACTTGTTATTGTGAATTGTGGTAGGTGACACTGTCACTGGTCACCCTTGCAAGTGAGAATGGGATGGAGACATCTGAGCCAGGAGTCTTCCCTTTCTGCACCTCAGTTTCCCCATCTGTAAAAATGAGGACGTGGAATAAACAATCTCCAAAGATTCTTCTCTGCTTTAAAGAAGTAATAATTAATGACACATGTAGTATATTAATTGATTCCTATAACAATTCTAAACATTTGAGGCAACCTCTCCTATTCTGTCCCACCTCCACCCTAACCCCTGCCTGATCTGAGGCTTCTTCCCAACAGTAACCAGGGCGATACATTTGTGTGAGTATTTCTCAGACATTTTCCCATGCATTTCCATAAAATGAATGGGTAGGGCTTTTAGGTATTGTTTCTTGGGTTTGTTTTATAATAAACATATTTTAAATTAATGGGAACCTTATAATTTTATGTAATATATTCCCCTCAATCAGTGTAATTTTTCTTAGTGTTAGATCTAGATAAAATCATAATGTAATCTTAAAGCTAAAATATGTTGGTTTTTGTACCAGTTTCACTTATTGCATGTGAGTGTGTCTCAGTTAACACTATAATTTTGCTCCTGGAAGCTTAGTATAACAATGTATTTGAATCAACTGAATATTGCTATTAATTTCATTCTTTTTTTTGAAATTATGAATTTTTCCTATAATTTTCTGTGTGTGTGTGTGTATATATATATATATATACACTCTTGTCATCCCCCAATTCTGTATGTGTGCTTATATATCCATAATTCTGTGTGTATGTATGTATACACTATACAGTATATAAATTACATAATTTAAGTACATTTAAATTATATTGAAAATGTATGTTATATAATCGATATATTATTTATATTAATTATGTAATATATCAATTATATTATATTTTTATATAAGTATAAGGAAAAGACACTCTTCAGCCCCTGCCCAGTCACACTCTCTCAGAAGAAACCATCATGTCTATTTTCTGTGAAAGTCCCCAGAAACCACACTCATGTGTGAACTTATTTCTCACTAATTTTGATGTTCGGTGTACATATATACACACATGTAGGCATGTGCTTATTCACGGTTGGGCTGAGATAGCTGGCGTGTGTGCGTCTGCGCGCTCAGCACTTCAGTACACGTCCTGTTCCCTCCTCTTTAGGGATCAGCGTGCTGAGGGTCAGAGACGTGAAGTAACTTCCTCCGGGTCTTACCGCTAGTATGTGGCATCGTCACTCCAAGTGCTCACTTGCTTCTTAGACACTGTAGTTGTTTATCCTTATTAGAAGACTAAAGGGAACTCTCAAAATTAAGTCTCAAAGAAAAGCCTGGAAGGGTGAGGGTGAGATGTAAGAATGGATCCTAAAAGTATATCCCTGTGCTTCAATCCCAGGCAGCAGATGCAGGAAGTGAACAGATATGGGGTCCCCAGTGCTTGGCTGCTTAGTGGGACTGCGGGAGAACCAAGCTCCTTAAACCAGGGAAAAGGGTCTGGTTTCAGAAAGCACTTGAGCTGACAGGAATGGAGTAGAAGTTAATCCCCACCAGCCTGAGGCCTGCCTACATTTACATGGACAGAGCTCCTGAGAGAAGCCCCTTGCCTTGTGGCACTGGCTGACTCTTTCTGATCCATATCAGCATCACGGGAAACTGGGAGGCTCAGCACTCGAGGGCTCAGAAACCCTCCGGGAAAGTCAGGAGGAACTGGGAGCAAGGGCGCATGTGCTCTGTCCTCTTTTGATGGAGGGGTGTAGTTCATAGGTTACCTTCAGTCAAAGGAGAAGAGCAGCTTCTGTTTACTGGGTATATTTGTCTGACAGACCAGACGGTGTGCTGAGTGCCCTTCCCTGGCATTTCATCTTCATTACACCTCTGTGAGATGGAGAGAGTTGAGGCCCATTTCATAGGCAACGATGGCCTTGGCCATCAGAACGTTAAGCCGCTTTGTAGAGGGCATGGCACTGAAGTGGTGAAGGTGGCAGCAAGACATCTGACTCCAAAGCCCATGCTTTTTGCTGATTCTGTGCCTTGGGCTTAGAAGGAAAACACACAAAGCAGACAACTGTCACTATGCTGGGCATCATTAACTCTATTAACCATTTGGTCTTTTATGGACATTTCTAGTCTGAAAACTAATTAGCTCTTGTTTAATTAGTGTCTTCTAGTTACTCAGGGAAAATGTTTAATAAACTTCTTAGGATAAAGTTTGCTTTTTAATTATGATATCTTAATTTATATTGCAATCAATAATTTATATTACTAATAAACCAATCATTTACCTGGTAGCAGAGGCTTACCAGAATCAGTGTTTTGCAAACTATGAGTCATGGTTCATTAGTAGGTTATGAAATCAATCTAGTGAGTCATGATCAGCATTTGAATAGAATAGAATAGAATAGAATAGAATAGAATAGAATAGAATAGAATAGAATAGAAAAATATCAGTGCATTGCACACAGCAAGAGGAAGTATGTTATGTGTAATTTCATTTCAGTGACATATTTATGTGCGCATTAACTTAAAATGTATTTTTCACTACTGTTGGTCACAGTTTTTAAAAAGTTAGCTTTGGAACAGATGTGTAATTCATTAGATTGCATATTGTTTTTTTCTGTGGATTGCTTGTTCTCTTGTTCCTCAGAGCACCATTAGCCCATTGGCCTAGGCATATTTCAAGTAGAGCTTTCTGGACATATCTGTATGCTAATATTTCCCCAGATCATTGATTAGATGGATGTGCCTGTTAGATTCAAAACATGTTATGGACACTCAGGGAGGGCAAAGTGACATTTTCAAAAGCTGTGGTGAGTTAGTAGCAGAGGTGGGACCAGAATTCGATTATTTATGGATTCCTTCCAGACTGGAAAAAAGCAGGGTGAGCAATGGCTCTCCTACTGAGGTCAGTGAACATCTGTTCCTTCATAGATGGAGCTAGAAACAAGGGATCAGGCTAGACCTGGGGAAGGATTTCCCTGTGGTAAGGAGTGGGCGTGTGTGTGTGTGTGTGTAACACCCCTCCTTGGAGGCCTTCAAAAGAAAGAGCAGGATCAATTTCCCTTCTGCTATGAGGTCCTTTGGTGGGGGGGGGAGAGTGGGGAGCTTGTTTTCCCATCCCAAGATGTCCTTATTCCTTTGGCCACACTCACCCTCTCCCATTAGCAAGCATAATTGGAGCTGGCCGTGTTTCTGTCCTCAGCCACGGATGGATGTGATGAATGCCGTGGTGTTTTGCTGGGCTGCAGTTTGCTTTGCTTTTCATCCGAGTGTCAGAACGAGCCCGCAACAGCTGTGATCAGCTGTTGGAAAAAGGGGAGTTGAGTGTGGAGAGGGCAGCTCCTGGCCCTGTGCCCAGCCCTAGTGGAATGTTTAGTGTCCACCTCTCGGTTTGTCTCTTTCTGTTGCTGACTCTGTCGCTACACCCTCCCCCCCGCACCATCTTTTCACATGCATCTCTTTTCAGGTTTTTTTTTTCTCTTCTTCCTTCATCTCTTCTTGGGCAATTAGAAGTCACCATGGTTTGACATGAATCTTTCAGAACAGCTGGTGAGTTCAGGACAGGGGAAGCTACAGAGAGCACCCACTTCTGAATCCCCCGACTCCAACCTGCTACCAATGGTGAGGTGCTCTATGGAGATAGGAGAAAAGCCTGAATTCAGCCAGACTTAGATTCTTGCCTTGACTCCACCTCTTGCTGGCTGTGAGACCTTGGCCAAGTATTTGAACTTCTCTGAGCCTCAGTTCCTTCCTGTGTTACTTGGCAATATCAATGTCTGCCTGAGAAGGCAGTCATGAAGATTAAATGAGAAAACTTCCAGAAAAGTTCCCTGCTCAGGGACGGACCCAAATGCCCTGTTTCCCTCGCCTTGACAGCTATGCGCCCTGCACTGTGGCCCAATGCCACCCCACCTCTCCCAGCCCAGGGCTTGCTGTCATTTTACTGAGCATCAAAGCTTTGTTCAATTCCATGGAGGAAACAGGTTCCTAAAGATTCGTAAGTCTTCTGGTACCAGCTTTTGTCATTTTCCCAGGCTTGGAAAAAAAGCGAGTCTAAAAAAAATGAGCCATTTTTAACCTTAGTCATCTCAGGATGAAAAGGCAACAGTGAGAAGAAGCCATAGACCCCTCCATGGGTCTGAGAAAGAGGCATGAGTTCATGTCAGGCCACTGGCATTTTGTTTTTTAAACCACAGAGACAACTTATAATGATAGCTAGAGGATGGTACTGACCAACCGTGACTGTTAACATCAGCCCTCCCTCACTAGCTTCACTCAGCCTTCAGCTTGGTCACAATCAATTTCCTTTGGGGTCAAGAATGCAGTCATCAAGCAAGACCAGTCCCTCTCAGGGTCATAGTTCCAGAGCAAACACCTGGGTGTGAAGCCCGGAATTGTCCGCTGGTGCCCATACCTTCACTGAGCCCACAGGCTGAAAAGAACTACATGACAGTTGGGAGCAGGGGTCTCCTTTCCCCTCCAGAACCCATAAGCTAGTGGGAACCAAGGTGGATTCACTGTTCTGGGGTCCTCTCATAATTCCTGGGCTCCTCTGGAAGGAGAATCCAGACACCAGAGAAAGCTTTTGGGAATGTCATAGGGAGAGTAGGAAAAATATTTCTTGTTCTGATATTGGCTTTTTGAACATTGGTCGTTTATTTCATGGACACTTGGTTGGGCAATAGATTTCTCTCTCTACCCCCTATTGCCCAAGTTGGAGAGCCAAGGGCTTACCTGCTGCTTTGACCTTGAAGTTTCCTTACAGCAGTGTCCCCCTTCTTCTCTCTCTTCTCTATTTTAACAGCACATTTCTCTTTGGACAGGTTTAAGGATTACCGAGAACCACCATGGGCCCCGAACCCATACGAGTTTTCCAAACAGTACTGGTCTGTTCTGTCTGCCCGTCTGGCTTTTGTCATAATCTTCCAGGTGAGTTATCTGAAGAAGGAATTGCCAATTAGTATTCAAACTTCGAGAATAAAGACAGCCACATCTCCTTGCCTGCCCCCCATCTCCAGGTTTGCATGGCACAGTGTGACCTGTGCATGTGGCAGGCAGTGACTGCTCCCTGCCCCGGGCTGCCATGAATTGACGGAGTTGCAGAAAGAGATGAAAACACAGAGTAAGGTTACAAGACAGGTGCAGAGTAAGTTGCAGGGTAGAGACAGATTCCCATTTCAACCTGAGACAAGGAAAGGAAGTGGGAAGAGTAGTGGAAACCAGGGTCTCAACTCTCATGCGGACAAACAGCCCCACGTGGACCTTTCTTCTGGCCTTCTCAGCTGGCTCCCTCCTTTGTTAGTGTTGTTATAGCCCCTGAGACATCCCGCCATCCCTGAATGAATGGCAAACCTGAACCCAGTGATTCCTATCTCCGACAATAGCAGCAGCTCCAATTGCACCGCAGAGGTTCTCTGAGCACGAGGCCCCCCTTCCAATCTGGGGTCCCGCCGGTCTTCAAGCAAGGCTGGAGCACAAGCCCAGATCCTTTTCTCCTCGGCTCCCTCAGGTTTTTGTATTCCCTGGGGGCAGATCTCTGGGGGGCTCTAAAATATCCTGCCTCTAACCCCAGCCCAGGAAGGGGAGAAGCCCACTGTCTAGTCTTTCACCTAAAGAAGACAGCTATTCTTCCTCTAGAGCGATGGGTGATTTATTTGAAAGATTGCTCAGACATCCCCCTGCTGCCCCACTTGCAGTAGTCGCCTCACTTCACCATGCGTCACAGGCAGTGTTCACTCACGCTGCAAGGAGGTGATGTAAAAAAAGAGAGTATATGACTCGAAGCAACTCTAGGTTACCTAAGGCAGCAGGCACCTCTGGAAGCAGCAATTCGTTCCCCAAGTCTTCCTCTGGGCTCCTAGAAGCATATGGAGTTCAAGGTCAAGCTGGGAACAGGCTTAGAGTGTGGAAGACAGCAGTGCTGTTACCTCATTCTGGGCATTGTCACTGTTCTCTGTATCTCAGAGAGAAGACACGTTAGCATATAATTGTCAGGCACAGAACACAACAATTAGAGTAGGAACAATTGTGTGGGGTAGGGCTTGGTTGAAGGTGGCTTGGGAAATGGATGGGAACTAGATATCAAAGTAGTGGACACTTAATGGGGACATGACGGCACTGCTATAATATATTCACCCATCCGAACAGAAACTACTCCCAGGGAAACACAGTCTTATCCTTCCTGTATATACAACAGAGTGGATGTGCCTTAGCAGACAGAAGGATGAAGTCAGTTACAAGTAGGCACAAAAAAGGGAGAGGGTCAGTGGTGAATTAATTAATTAATAAGAGGCAGGGGGTCCCAGGCAGACCAGAGTGCCTGGAATGGAGAACAGAATGAACTACATGTGAGCAGTAGGTGGGGTTGGCCGAGGCCAGCCTTCAGTGCAGATCAAAGGTCCATCTTTGATCTGGAAGACAGAGGGTCAGATGCAAGAAAGAAGAAACTGGCCCCAGGAAGGCCCTGGAGAGGCCACTGGGCCTCGTGACCACTTCCTAGGAGCTCTGGAGCAGGGTTCCTGGAGGCTTTGAGGCCAAGAAGCCAGAGCGGGACCGTGAGATGGGCTGGAGGAGGGGGAGGAAGCAATGGCTGCCACTTATGGAGCCCCCTGTGTATGAGGTATTTACCTGTTTAAACGGAGCCCCCTGTGTATGAGGTATTTACCTGTTTAAACTTCAGACAACTCCAGGAGGTAGGTACCGTTACTCTTCCACTTTCTAAAAGGGGACACCAAGGGGCAATTGTGCTCAATGGCTAAGGCCACCACCAGTGGGTAGTGGAGCCAGAACAACACAGGTGCCCAGTCCCAGGTGTGCGCTCCTCACTGCGGCACGCTACCGCCAGCCCCACTGCCGAGACCGACGTCTGACGGGCCAGGGTAGATGATGGTACACTTGTGCTCCCAGGCCAAGCCTTCCCTCTCAACTTCTGTCCCTCGCTTTCAACAGAACCTTGTGATGTTCCTGAGTGTCCTCGTGGACTGGATGATCCCAGATATTCCCACGGACATCAGCGACCAGATCAAAAAAGAGAAGGGCTTGTTGGTGGACTTCTTTCTGAAAGAGGAGCATGAGAAGCTCAAGCTGACAGATGAGCCAGCCCCCAGCAGCTGGGGAGGAGGGCATCACAGCAGGAGGAGCCGGGCGGCCAGCTCAGCACCCTCTGGCCACAGCCAGCCCGGCAGCATCGCGTCTTCTGGTTCTCAGCACACCAATGTGTGAGCAGCGAGCCAGCCCACTGCCGAGGGGTGCACTGCAGCAGCGAGAGACCACGCACAAGCCCGCCTGCATCTGCGGGGTGCAGTGTCTGCCATCTGCCCGGATGTGGCACGAGGGCCTCTTGAAAAGGGTGCGTGTGTGGAGAGAGAGAATGAATGAGCTCAGGGAGGAAGAGAAATGATGCTGCTTCTTAGAAACATCAAGCTAAAGTTTCTTTTAGGTCCTCTTTTGAGCTGTAGGCTTTCAGGGATTGGTACTGTTTTGAGTTTACCAGTGAAAGAATTGAGCCTCTCTACTCCAGGATTCCCAGGTACTGAAATCAAGAATTTTTATGACTTTGATTAAATTTAGCTTTAAATCCTAGCTGTAGAAATCATATCCCTCTCTCTCTATATATACATACTCTCAGAGGCCTAGCTGCCCCCCATAGTCAGCAGCCCCCCAAGGCAGCAGAAAACACTGGTGGGGTCCTGAGCAATGAAAACAAGGTCTGGATCTCTGGCAGGCTAAACATAAAGTCTTGACCTAAGTTATGTTTCAGTTTCTGAGCCCTAAGATGGAATGACCCACTGGCTACCCTCCCATGAGAATGGACAGAGGGACACCAGAAAAAGAACTCAGAACTATCTTCAAGACTTGAAGAAATGATTATCCTTACCTCACCGACCAATCAGCTCCCAGCATGACCCTGAAACCCCTGCCCAAAACCCCACCCCTGTCTGGTGATTTTGCCCTAATCTGTAACCTATACTCACTCTATTGAAGGCTGGTTGTTTTTAGAGCCTAAGTTTCCCACCTCCGATTCAGTTTTGGAGTTTGGCCAATTCAATATGAAACCATTTTTTTCTTTCTATACTGCAAGTTTCTGTTCATGCGTTCCTCTGGGCCAGTGCCTGCAGTCAGGTAGACTCAAGGGAAAACACTGGGTTTCTGGTACATCACCCTGAGCCATCCCTGTGTTTCGTCAGGAGCTCTCTCATATCAGATGGCTGCAGATTATGATAGAAGCACAGTCAGGGCCCTGTTCTACCACCCATCATGAGTGATCATCGCCCCCCTCCCTTCCTGAGTCGCTTGCAGCTGGGGCTGTCAGAGCTTCAGTGGATGCAGGGCTGATTACTGCGGCCACTGGATCTGATGGTGAGCTGCAAAGTTGTGAACCTGGGCTTATCTTCAGTTTACGTCACAGGGATGCTTTGAGCTAAATGCAACTAACCATCATTTTATGCAGATTCAGATTTCAAATAATAAAATAAATGGAAACATTCTTTATAAAGATGCTTCTCCTTGTCTTTGGTTCACTCACTCTCTTTCCCACTGCCCCCTCTCCCCCAAACATTTATTGAGCACTTACCATGTGCCAGGCATTATTCTCAGACGAGCTACGAGAGACAAAAATCCCTGTCTGACGGAGTTTATGTCCTGGGGAGAGAGAGACAACAGGGATAAGCAATACAGAAGTGTGAGGACAACACAGGAGGTGAGGGACTTAACATATTATATATGAATGCATTTCAAACTCAAGATGATTAAGTGCTTATATCTCGCAATGCTATCATCATTGATTGGTACCAGCCTCCCAGAATTCTGTAGTGAGAAGAATTTCAAGTGTAGTTAAAACCAAGGGTCAAACATAATTCATCATTGCCTTTCACCCCCTCAACTCCACCTACTGCCCAGAAACCAACTGTGCAGTCCTCTTCCCCTGGACCTGGCTCCAGTTTTGCAGGTTGATATGACTAGAGTCTTAACTCAGTGCCTGAATGGCCGCAGCAAAGAGACCCATGCTCCAGAGGAGAAATGAACATTGTCCTTCTATTTCAACACAACCTGTGATGCAAGCACCTGTGGGTGTGTAAGCCAGTCATTGTTGCTGCTGCCCGTGGCTTCTTGTTTCCCCTTGGCCACGTGCAGGATTGCACTGCCAGCAACCCTTGCTCTGGAAAGTGGGCCCTTCTTTTAAAGGGTTACCAGGGCACAGATACAGCTGTTAGAGCAACAGGCACGCATGTCCCCAGCCACTGGTACACAACAAATCCCATAATAAATTTTAATTACATCACACCTTAATGTTCAAACTGGCCACTTGAGCCTAGAGTCAAACAACAGTAGCACAAAAACATTGCATCACCTTACAGCAGGCTTCTGTTAATCTGGGGAGAGCGAAGTGGCCAGCAGGAGGAAAGTTTCACTTCAAGGGACATTAATGGCATGGGGGTTCCAGGCCCATAAAAAGGAGGATATCCACCCCTGCTCCCAGTGACTTCTACCAGCATGGGCAGGATTGATATGTCCAGGAGCCAGTGATGGTCCACAGTCAGGAGGTATCTCTATTACCCGGGTACCCACTTTGCAGTGAATGAACTACACCCAAGCCCACTGGTTGCCCATGTCTGGTTCAAGATCCCACCCTGCCTTTTTCTTTCTCCTGACTTGATACTAATAGAATTTTGAAATTCATTCTTGTAACTCAAAAATTTTGCTAGAATATATCTTGATAAGAGTGTCTTTTGTTTAATATGCCTGAAATGGGGTGATTACATTCAGTCTACATATTCACTTCTGAAGAGTGTTCTTCCAATACAAGAATGGATTCCAGTGTGTCCATTCCAACTGTTCTGGTTACTTTAAGAAACCACAAGTTTTAGATGGGTTTTCCAGTTTTCGAAACCTTCACATTTACCTTTTCTTTTTCAACATTTTATTTCTATCTTTCAGGACCATGCCCATTCCAAAATGCCCCTCCCACCAGAATCAATCCATCTACAACAAGTCCTCAAACAACATCATTTCATTCAATGTCATTTTGTTATGTTGATGAGAGGGAAAAAAATTGATTCCCACCTGGGGCCACTGTCATGTGGAGTTTGTATGTTGTGCCCATGTCTGTGCAGGTTTTCTCCAGGGACTCTGTGTTCCTCCCACCTTCCAAAGATGTGCATGTTAGGTTAGTGGGTGTGTCTAAACTGTCCCAGTTTGAGTGAGTGTGGCTATGTGTGTGAGTGACCCCACAGTGGAAAGGTGTCCTGTCCAGGGAGGGTGCCCGCCTTGTGCCCTGAGCTGCTGAAATAGGCTCTGGCCACCTGTGACCCTGAACTGAAATCAGTGGATTGGAAAAGAATGATCTTTGTTTTTATTAATCTTTCTTAAATGTATATGCAGCTCACATGTACTTCAAATGTTTAATATTAAAAATACTTGAGTCTTTTTTAGAAGTTTGATGATTTTTTTGACCAGAAATGTTCTAAAGGAACTTAACTCTTATTTATATCAATTAGCATATGGTAAAATTGGTTTCATTATATGGTCCTTTCACTTAAATTTACAATATCCAAGAACTGTTGAAGAGAAAGCTGACTGTATAATCTTCAATATGTTATACCAGCAGCCTCTAAGCTCTCACTTGTATGAGTCCTTCATGGATAATCTGGAAGAGAGGTGATTTCCCCTGACTCCTCAGAACCCTATTCTTCTGAACGTCCCGTGCCACTGCTGGCCTTACCTTTACCTGAAGTATGTATTTTCCCACACACATTCCTTGCTAGTCAGTGAAGAGGTTGAACTTGGCAGGCACTCACTTCCATTCCTGTCCTGACATGTGCAATTCTACAGGTTCACTCACCACAGCATGGCAAAAATGAAGAGTATGGGTGCACATTGATGGCTCAGTATTATCTTTCATATTACCGTTCTACTCATCTTTCAAAACACAGGCCCTGAGCATCTACGTCTTGGGTATTCTAACTCAATTCCATCCATGTAAGCGTTGTCGGAATTTCCACATTGGCCCCCACCCCCAGTGGTATCTGCTCAGCCACAGTAGAGGGCACCAGAGAGCAGAAGCCCCGACCCCCCACCCCTTCAAGGCTTAGCCACACATTGTGGAAAATATCAGGAAAAGCAGATGTTTCCTCCAAGTGCCTATCTGCATATCGGGTTAGCCTCCTTCTCCCCTTCCCCTTCTTCCTTGTTCTCCTGCACTGCAGTGAATGGCAGTACCCCAGAACCCTATTCCTTTAGACACGTTCTTACCAGGACTCTCATGTAGTCACAGTAGGACTCACTTATTCTTCTGACCTCCCCACGTCTCGTACAGCTTTGTCTGCAGAAAGTAAGTGCAGGGCAAAAGTCCCATGGGAACTAAAAAATATATGTCTCTGTGTGAGTTGGGGAGACTTGGTGTTTTATTGCCTCACCTTTTGCTCACTTCCTGTTGGCCTAACAGAGCAAATTGAGGACTGAGGCTTCCACGCCAGGACGTCGTCCTCAATTAGGAAAATGAAGCCGCACACCCCAAGGAACAGAGGCAGGCGTTTGACATGGATCCCGCATCATAACCTGCTCCTAGTTTTCCCCCAGCATGATGGACTCTGGTTGGCCTGCCTATAATTCCTCAGAAAGTATATGTCGACTTCTATCAAGAACCACATCTGCTTGGTCTCAGAGAGGCTGCTAGCTGAGCAACAGATGAGGCCCCTATTCTAAAATAGGCCTCTTCAACCCTTTTCCATGGACCTCATTCCTCCTACATTCTCAGGAATTTTTCTGCCTTATCAACCTCAAACTTGGTTTTCTTAACTGCCAACCCTCAACTTCACCGTATTCCACCTGTGTCCTTTGATTCTTTTTTCTTTGCCCAGATTTATTGTCCACTGTTTGATTTCCTCATCACGCTGCAGGGACTCGGTCCCCGAAGATCTCCAAACTCTTTCAGCCTCACCACGCTTGTGCCAAATCCAGCCCTTACCTAGAAGCTCTGACATATTTGTAGTAAGCCAGTTTTACCAGCCTGGATCCCCCTTCCACACTGGGGCATCCTCTCTGGGGCCCTGCTGGTATTTCCTGCCACAGATCCTCTCTGATAGATGCCTACTTTGGACTATGAGTTGAGAGTCTCAGAGAGTCTAGAAGAATCAGTTTATTTTCTACCTTCCAAACCAAGCTGCAGCAAAGGGTTTGCCTCTCAAGCAGCCAAAGTGTCCATTCTCTCTCTGCCCCGAGCAATGCAATCCTTCATTACATAAAAGGAAACCTCTGCGTCAGCCATCCCTGAATCAGGGGCCTTTCATTCGACCTGGCAGAGACAGTGTGTGGAGCAATGGCAAAGGAGGCTAACATTGTGTCACACAGAGAGAGAGCACTTGGGACTTCTGCCCAAGAGGCCAAGGCGAGGACATCGCTGAGCTGGAGTGAGACTGTAGTCGGCCTATCCCCAGAGCCCGTGCTCCTCACCGCTCACCGGAGAAGAAGGAGAGGTGCATTTCTCAGCAGCCCACGTTCATGTAAAGTGTGGAGACCGTCTTTCACGTGATGCCGAGGGAACTTACTCTCATGGAAAATGCACTCTGCTTTGCAGCCAGACTTGGGTTCTAGTGCCCACTCTCCCAGTGGGGCCAGCCTCATAGCTTCTCTAAGCCACTCTCTCCATCTGCAACAAAGAGATGATACCACTCTGCCCTGCTTTCCTTTGTCCTTGGTAAGCCCCAGAGCACAAGGTCAATACGAGGAAGGGATGATATCATGAACACATATGTTTCTCTAAGGAGATGAACATTATCATCAATAGCTAAGAGAAATGTAGGTCCAGTGCGAGATCTATTGGTAGAGACAGTCGTGGCCAAGAGTAAACCTAAAGTCCAGATGGGGCAATTCCATGACACCTGGAAGTGGAGGGCTGGTGCAGTACCCAGCACTGCCTGGTTAGTGTTCTTGACATCAGCACGTTTGCTAAATTCCATTTTGGGCTGCATTTCCAGATGAGTAAACTATGGAGGAAGACCTCAGATGAGATGTCACTGCCCGGGATTAGCTAAAGAATTATTGTCTTCTCCTCCTCCTCCCACTTGTGTTAACATGGCTTGGCTTTTAAAACAAATGCCTTCCTTGCTTTGACGTCGAGGAAGTATGTCGTGGTTTTTTAAAAACATTGCACCGACTCCATCAAAAACATATCAAGTGATGCCCAAGTATAAGTTTCTGTCTCTAGACCATGATTTTCAGAAAATGCATTAATCTAAACTAATTTTTCATGGTTATTGTGGTTTCCTTGAGTGGTTCCTTATAAATGTCTACCAAGGAAAAGAGAGTTTATTGTGGGAGCAGGGGAGACTTCAGACTGAAATGCTTCATCATCAAGACTGAAATTTCCTAAGAAAACTGGCTTTTCTACTGACCCTGGGATGAGCGGCACAGCTCATGTGGGATCCAAGATGGCGGCTCTGGTTAAACTACTGCCAGTTCAGGATGCCACATGGAGACAATTATGTTCCAGGATCACTAAGCCAGAAAATGTTAAAGCACCTTTCAGAGCCGGCAACCAAGAATTGGCTTTCTGAAAGGTGTCTTCCATCTATTGGTGACAATTTGCCATCTCCAATGTATTTCCAGCAAGGACAGAAATGGAGACTCAGATGCAGACTGAAAAGCACCTACTCAGATGAGAATTTATATTGGAAAGCTATTATGTAGGCGTTTATCTGCCCCTTAGTGGTGGGGAATGTGGGCAATAGGATGGGGTTTGAAAAGCAAGGGGTCAGACAAAAGCATGTCTCACTGATAAAGATTTTAAAAAAACAGAAGATATTTCTGTTTCTTTATCAGCCATTTTCAAAAGAGATTTGAAAATGCTATTATAACACTCAAGGTAGTTCCACTATTCGAGAGGGGGCAGAGATTGAGAAGTTATATGCAAAGTGTGTCAGGTAGTGGACAACTAAAGGATTATCAGTTCATTCTATTATTAAAACAGCAGAGGCTGCAGAGCTTCACTGACTAGCTAACTTGACCCTTTGCGTTACCTGACTGACTGTTGGAGCAGGAGCACTGCTCCAGGAGCCACAGCTGTCTGTGGCTCCCGGCTGCCTGACCCTTCCCACTGCTCATGTTTCATGTGATGCCCAGCCCTAGCCTGACCACTTTCTTTGCCTGTACCGCCCTCACTTGGCTGGGATCTGGGCCTATCCTTCATTCGCCTGCCCAGAGCTCCTCCTGCAAGCTTCCGTCATCCTCGCTCCTGTCCCTGAGCCTGCCCTTCTTAGGGCAGGTAGGGAGACTCCTGGTCCCCTGTGGTCATGCCCACTGGGCTCGGGCTTAGAGTTCCACCAACTCCCTTCATAAATGCTCTCCAAATTACTTCCAGAACTACATACAGAGCATGGGTCTGGTTGGAAGTTATGTAGAGAGAGTGAGGGGGATGGGCATGTACAAATGTAAAACTGCTCATTAGGGTTTGTTTTGAACCAGGTGCATCACAGTCATCACCTATTTACATGACCCATAACAATAACCACATTTTATGAATGAAAACCTGGTGCTCTAAGATATTCTCTAACTTACTCAAGGCCACCTAACTAATACGTCCATGAGCCAGAAGTGAAATCTAGGTCTGTCTCAGAGGCTGTGCTATTTTCTTTATGTCAGCTGGCCATCACTCCCCACCTCCCCTTTCCCTGCAATGATTTAGTTATATAAACTCCTGACTTCGGCCAAACCCATCTGCTGTCATCTCTTATATATTCCTGTCTTCCTTCCCTGGGCTTTTGCTACAACTGGAATGCTCATTATTGGTTTGCTGCCACATAACCCATGGTCTTAACACCTGACCCTTGGTTCCCACCAAGGCCTATTCTTTATACTGTATTTCAGAAAGCCAGTCCTCTCTCCTACCTCAGCTCCTCCCTCTGTTATCACCAAGCTGCAACCACGCCTGTGAATCTGCAGGCTTCAGGTGAGAGCACTCAGCCTGAGCAAATGGCTCACTCATGGGCTTGACTTCCCATAAGGAAAATGGGCTCCTGTTAATTATCTTTAAGACTCAAAGCCTAGTACAGTCCCTGGAATGGAGTCTGCACTCAATAAAAACTGATATTTGCATGGAAGGAAGGGAGGCAGGGAGGTAAGAAGCAATGTGGGCTAGAGTCCCCACTGCAGTATTAAGGAGGTGGGTCAGTAATAAGACTGCCTTTGGAAAGCAACAATGACCAGCCAATGCCCTCCCCTTTCCATATCTCACTGCCTCACTCTCCATAGCTATATTATAAAGAATCAGAGTTGATATTCCACTGACACACCAGCAGAGCCATACCAAGAACTAAAATATTGAAACAATTTTGTATTAGATTGTAAAGTCTCTGCACCCCCACTATGTTCCCCAAGTAT